TCTAGTGAAACATTCTCTATGATCTAAGAGAATTAAATGGTGGGTAATTCTCAGCTTTATTATATTATTAATTTCGGGGACAGTGCCGAAATATCAATTTTGATATAATAAAAATTATTAAATTAATTTTTGATAATTTTTAGGGAAATATTATTTTAATATTTATCACCCCATAAATATCCTCACAAGTCCCAGGAACATAGTCACACACAGTTTCATACACAGCCACAGGCAGGCAGCCACAGTTACAGGAGGACAGTCTCTCACACACACACACACGCACACAGTCAGAGTTAGACAGACAGTCTCACACATACACAACCACACAGTGAAAGGCACACAGTTTCACACATACACACTGACAGGCACAGGCACACATACAGTCACAGGCAGACAGTCACATACACAGTGACATGCAGACAGCCACACACACATACACAGTTACAGGTAAACAGTCACATAAACACACAGACATACAGTCACACACACAGTGACAGGCAGACATACAGTTACAATCGGTCACACACACACAGACAGGTACCTTTTTCCATCATAGGCACTGGCTGGGGAGTGGAGGCAGTGCAGTTTCTGGTGACTAGTTGTTTGGGAGGCAGGGACTCTTTCCTGCTTTCCATCAGTGTGGGCAGCGGGTGAAGGCCGCATGTAGCTTCACCCCACCACACATTTATCTCTGCCTTGCTGCACATTTAGTGCCGCCCCATCATGTATTTAGCTCTGCCCCAGCCTCAAGTATTTGCAGCTGGCAATTCTGCAACTGACTGCACTGCTGTCTGCCAGCCACTGTGTGTATGAGCTATGTTGGATGCCAGGTACCCACAGCTGCCGGCCCTGTGTGGCCACACACATACCCCTTAGGCCGGCCTTGCACCTTGATACAGGTGCATACACACACCTTGACACAGATACACAATGATACATACACACACCTTGACACAGTTGTGTTAACACAACCCATGGTGCCCCGGTGCGAAACTGATCCATAGGCCCCCCCACCGACAAACACACACACGTTATGGACAGAAGAATTAAAATAAAATGGATGTTTACTAATGTCTATTTATTCTGTGTTTAAAACTGGCGGCTAGAGTAAATATTCCCTTCCCCCCCTACAATGTGTTCAGTCACTATTTTCTCTGCAAATTCCTCCCATCCTGCTAGCCTCCCCCTTCCCATCGAGCAAGCCTCATGTAACAAAATTCCTGTGTTAAAAGAACATCTTCCTTTATTAAACTCCTCCCCCACTTCCTTTGTGCAAAGTAACAGCTAACAAAATAGAGAATCACTGTTAAAGTAACTACTACTCACTTCCCCCCTCCCATCGTGTAACCAAGATGGAGCTGGAATGTGGGTGGAGAAGTCTGTAATGACGACACTACATCCTGTAGGGGGGGTTTAGACAAGACCCCTTAGACTGTTAACCAATTGATGAATGTATACTGTATGTTAACTGTGACTCTGTACATGACGTATTTCTGCTTTAAAAGGGAATTGCACCCCCTGGAATAAAGGCCACTCTGGAGTTCTTCATAAACCTGCAATGTGTCCGGTGTGATTTACTTCCAGAAGACATGCACACAATCAATTTAGAAAGAAGTAGATAGACAAATAACCAAAGTTTTCTTTGGTATCTAAATCACACACAACATACAAAGTCATGCATACAAACACACAAGACAAACATACAGACACACACATACAAACAGACAGACAGGCACACATACACACAGACAGACACATACATAAAAACAGACAGGCACACAAACACCCACAACACATACAAAGACACATACATACAAACACACATACACATAATATTTAAGTCACCCTCCTGTTTCCTACCTTTTAGGTGCAGGAGGGTGATTTTCCCTTGGGTCCAGTGGTAGCTCAGGTTGATGGGAGTCAGAGTTCTCTGATTCCTCCCGCGCGGGCTCTCAGTGATAGCTGGGAGGAGTGATGGGGAGTCACTTCCTCCCAGCGAGTGATGTCATCACAGGTGGCCCGCTCACACTGTAAAAGCGCAGCAGCGCGGACCGAGCCCCTGGAAAATCCATCTCCATCGGGTGGCCCTGACAGCATGGGCCACCCGATGGGCACCATAACATGCAGCCCCGGTGGATTACCGCGCAGGCCGGGGCTGCAAATGATGATGGCGGGCACCATGTCGCTATATGTACGCCAGTGCCTTGACACATACACACACACAGTGTAGTGTCCCTTTACCATTTATTTATAAAATATTTTACCAGGAAGGACACATTGAGATTTATCTTGTTTTCAAGTATGTCCTGGGTCCACAAAACATTGAATTGATACAATAGGTTACAATAAAATACAAAACAATATTAATAACACAATATATACAAAAGTTATCATAGAACAGGTAGGAAATATATAATCATCCATGACAGGTGCATTCTGTTTTGAGGTATGTAGAGAGGGATCTCTTAAAGGACTTTAGGCTTGGGGAAAATTTGAAAGTGTGCGGGAGGTCGTTCCATAATTGCGGCACTCTGTAGGAAAAGGAGGATCGGGCTGCTTTTTTTGTATTGAGGTAGACTAAGTAAAGTGTTGGTACTGGATCGGAGGTAATAGGAAGTGAGACCTGCTGTTTGCCATCACGGACCGGAGGGGAGATCAGTGATCTCCCTCCCCGGCCCACAGGCACGAGAGAGAGAGAGAGAGAGAGAGAGAGAGAGAGAGAGAGAGAGAGAGAGAGAGAGAGAGAGAGAGAGAGAGAGAGAGAGAGAGAGAGAGAGAGAGAGAGAGAGAGAGAGAGAGAGAGAGAGAGAGAGAGAGAGAGAGAGAGAGAGAGAGAGAGAGAGAGAGAGAGAGAGAGAGAGAGAGAGAGAGAGAGAGAGAGAGAGAAAAAAAAAAACACCCGGGGGAGCTTTTATCTGCAGCTCCGCCGGGTTCTCCTCTCGTGAGCACGGAGCATTGCCGCTCACCGCTAGAACCACCAGGGATGGAAAGAAAGCAATGTCTCCCCCTCCCTCAGCAAAGGTAAGAAGGGAGGGGGGACATTAGCTATATTTATTTAGTTATGATTTAATAATTTTAAAACTATATATATTTAATCTGCCTCCATCCCATCAAACAAACTATAACCAACTACTCACAAATATACAGCCCCCCCTTACACACAGTCCCGCTACACACAGACACAGCCCCCCTTACACACACAGCCCCCCCTTACACACACTGCTCCCAATATACAAATCGCTACCCCATACATACACTGCACCCCTCTCACACACGCACTACCCCTCCATACACATACTGCGACCCTCACACACACACTGCACCCCTCACACAAATACAGACTACAGCCCATATCCCGGCAGACTCTGGGAAAGTTATCAAACTTTTTTTTAAACGGTTTGACTACTTACTCTGGGAGAGCGCCACAGCAACTCCTGGCACCAAAACCACTACAGAGAGCTGTAGTGGTTATTGAGCCTGGATTGTTTCTTTAAAATGATCTGCCAGTGCCCCTCCCGAGATGAGCTTCTGGATTGGCCACTGAGGTGAGAACAGCCGGGGAGAGCATTCTACTCAGGCAGGGCGGGAACTTCCCAGAAAAGCTCTTAAACAGAAGGTTGGAAAGATGAAGGGTGCGTATGAATTCCAGCGACAGCCAGTTTAGTTTTTTAACATGTCAATGGTGGGTCATGTAATTTGAAAACTTTCGAATTGGGTTTTTCTGACCGGGTGCTTATTTATTTAATCAACAAATAAATTAATATGAACAGACCTTTCACACAAACTGAAGTGGTTTCAATAAAAGATCACTAAACTATAAAGTAGAATAACAGGTAACAGTACAAGTTGCACATTAAATATATCAAACCGGCAGGGGGTGATCGAGTTCTCTTTTTTCCTGCATTAGGTTTTCTACGCATGCGCACTCCCTACAGGTGCTGTCGCGCATGTAACTGACCATGCGCACTATCTGTAATGGTCGCGGCCACGTGGAGCTCAGGGCGCATGCGCAGCTCCGCTCTCACCCTGTGTCAGCGCTGTCCGTGTGATGTCACATGACATGAAAACGACAGTATCGGCGCTTTACGGCAGCAGCGGGAGAGCCCCTATCGGCAGGTATAGTACGGACAGTATAGTTACACAGGGAGACCTAATACCCCGAGTACACTACCGGCATGGGCTCCACCACAGTAACTACACTGAGTACACTACCGGCATGGGCTCCCACCACAGTAACTGCACTGAGTACACTACCGGCATGGGCTCCACCACAGTAACTGAGTGCACTACCGGCATGGGCTCCATCACAGTAACTACACTGAGTACACTACCGGCATGGGCTCCCACCACAGTAACTGCACTGAGTACACTACCGGCATGGGCTCCACCACAGTAACTGAGTGCACTACCGGCATGGGCTCCATCACAGTAACTACACTGAGTACACTACCGGCATGGGCTCCCACCACAGTAACTGCACTGAGTACACTACCGGCATGGGCTCCACCACAGTAACTGAGTGCACTACCGGCATGGGCTCCATCACAGTAACTACACTGAGTACACTACCGGCATGGGCTCC